AATGGAGGCACCCCAGATCAAGGTCGTGTTGAAATATGCATTAATGGTACTTGGGGGACTGTCTGTGATGATGATTGGAATCATTCTAACGCTCAAGTTGTATGCAGACAGTTGGGATATCTCAATGCAGGTACTAAACTAGTTCACACAGCAACAGAAACAATTGTAGGTTTGATAAACTAAGCCAACTCCAATAGATTTGCTTATTTTCATTAGATTTATTTAATATCACCTGCATAAATTGTGCGTATACACATATATGTGTGTGGATTGAATCAGAGTGACATAATTTATATTTTCATACCTCTATGTAGTACCTGAATATTACAGTAGAGCATATTTTGGAGCTGGTACAGGTAAAATATTTCTAGATGATGTTCGCTGTGCTGGAAATGAGAGCTCCCTATTAGAATGCATGCATAACCCGATTGGAAGCCACAACTGTGACCACTCTAAAGATGTTGGAGTATCTTGCATAAGTGAGATTTACATCATAATCCTGACATCCTGTATAGTTGCTTCAGTTTCAATTATATTGCAAGTAGATACACGTTTACATATCTACTATTATTAAATCGTTTTAAATTTCATCAAATTGTATATGCATATCAAAATTGGTCAAATGCTAAAGCCCAACATACACTGAGCAACTTTGTTGCCAGTGCCTTTGATGTGGTGAGGCAACTTGTTGCCAGAAGTTGAGAGTCTCTCTACTTTCTGCAACATGTTGCCCAGTGTTGCTCAACCACATCAAAGGTCTAACCACAAGTTGCCAGCAACAAAGTTGCTCAGTGTATGTTGGGCTTAAAGAATTGCTTATATTGATGTACATACATTGAAGTCATTGATATAATGTTCTCTCACATCCTTGTTTACTATAACTTGGCATTAATATTGGGTGTAATTGTAATGCAAAAAACAACAAAGTTTGGAGAAGCTTTTAATCGTAAGAATTAGAAAAAAACAAGCAAAAATAACACTATATATGTTCCCACAGATTGTACTCATGGTGAGCTGCGACTGGTAAATGGAAGCACTCCTGTTGAGGGTCGTGTTGAAATATGCATTACCTATATGTGGGGGACAGTCTGTGATGATCTCTGGACTAATGTCAATGCTGAAGTAGTATGTACACAATTGGGATATCCTACAACTGGTATGCACACTGATATCAGGTCTATACCAACACATTTATTGACTCATTAGTCAAACCCATACCTACCTACACTATAATTGGGGTCACTTGAAGCTAGCTAGGAATAATAGCACACTATGATAAAAATCAATTTTTATATTTTGAAGGAGCTGTTTATCGTCATATGGCTTATTTTGGTGAGGGAAGAGGGACTATATATCTTGATGATGTGAAGTGCAATGGATCAGAGAGCTCACTGCTTTCATGTTCACATTTGTCGTCAGATGATCATAGTGTCGATTGCTATCATCATGAAGATGTTGGTGTGATTTGTAATGATATTGGTAATTAAATTATTAATGATATTAAATTATTAATGATATTAAATGATAGATGTGTCATGTAATGAAACAGTCTGTAGCACTAAGCTTGACAATGCAGTCTGGAGGGAAATGAGGTACAAATAAATATTATTTTATATCAAAGCTTACTACTAAACTATAGTACTAATATTGGAAAATGTGAGCCCTATTATAAAAAGAATCAAAATTCTTCAGTCTGTGATGCATATTTCTCAGAAGAGGACTATGTGTACATACAAAGGCCTTATGGACAACCATATATAAGAGGATTCATGGAATACATTACTGAACACTTTCCATTTGTATCTGATTGTCGTGAATTGGCTGCTAGAGCACTCTGTACCTACTACTACCTTCCATGTGGACACAATGGTACAATACATGTGCCAAGGTTCCTGTGTTCGGATGTTTGTGAGTACGTACAAACCCAATGCTCTATTAGCTGGAGCATCTTTGAAACAAT